ATGGCATTTTCAGTGGTTTTAAATACCATCTTCAGGCAATAACAACATAAGTTGTAATGAGAAAAATTCAGGGTGCATAGGAAAGTCCCTTTAACTGGAAAATTCTTGAAGAACAAAGAAAACCAGTATTCTATTGAACTAATACTATGTGCTTATTTATTTATGCTTTAATGTAATTTTATTAGTTTATGCTATTACAATGCTTGATTATCTTGAATTCTTTATAATTTGGTATTTTCTATATTTTGTAAATGTTAATTTTCTAAAATTTTTATAATGTTCTATTCTTTTTTGCTCATTACTACTAATGTTATTGCCTGAAGATTATTTAAAATAACCAAAAACATTAATGTGTGTTAAAACTTTGCTGGGCTTATTAAGGTATTGAATTTTTCTTCTATACTTATTCAGTTTTATCTACTTGATAGTATTTAATTTAATAATTTTAAATAAAATGATAAACTGTTTCTATAATTATGAATTTTATATTCTTTTATCATTCATATATGCATTTAATTCATTACAGGTTACGTATTTTGGTAGTGGTCGGAATCGTTATCAGTTAGAGGTTCCAGAAAATGCAACCAAGTACGTAACTGATGAATATGACTTACAGACACAGAGGAAAGGATTCAAACGTTATTGGACTCCGACAATAAAAAGTTTATTAGCAAAACTAATATCTGCCGAAGAACACAGAAATGCAGCATTAAAAGATATCATGAGAAGAATATTCTCTGCCTTTGATTCTGGGTAATATATTATTTTCTGTAATTACAGGTTTTCACTATCTGAAAGTAGTGTTACTTTGAAAATTTTTCGTAAGTCAAAATGATATAAAGCAAAGAAGCAATTACCATTAATTTATATGAGAAAAATTTTTGAGTGTTCTCAAAATCAAAATTACATAACTAAATCATACTAAATTTTACTAAGAGATAGTAAAAGCTGGAATAATATGATAAGTGCATAATCTATATAAAGTAGAAATGTAAGTAAAGTGTAGTTACTGAAACTATATCAGAAGTGTACTGTCTCTAGTAAGCAACATTTAAGCTGTGAAATTATTCTCATCTTAAAACAGATTAAAATCATTCATGTCTTCCTTTAAATTCCACTTTTTCAATACTTCCATCACTATTGTCCATTCTTTCTGTTTCAGCTTATCAAAAACTGGCTGATTTCTTCTTTAGAAAAAATTAACTTAATAGAATGCCATGCTTTGTACACCCATCAGTTCATTCAAGCAATAGACTTTCCACTTTATCATTGTATTTTTGCTAACAGATGCACAAAATAAATTGACATAAAGCACAGATACTCATGGACACAATTGAAAGTTATGGTGGCTTGATGTTGAATGGTGGTTTGAATCCCAGGAAAGGAGCTTGGAGATGACTCTGCTGCTCTAAATGTCTCTAAAGCAGTTTGCTGTAAAACAAATGCTAAACACTATTTTTCTTAACTTTTTTCATAAAAGTGAAAATTCTCTTTGATTTCCTTTAGTGAAAACAGGTACTAATATATGCCTCTTGTAAAATCAAACTTTCATGAAGTGAAGGATACCTGTATCAGTTATGTTTATAGTTTAAAATAATGATATTTATAGTGAAGCTCTCTCAAAACATTCTAACCTGAAGTATATATTTTTATTACTATAGTCTAAATGTAACTTACATAACTGCATATATAAATATATTTTAAAATTAATTAAATGTACATTAATCCCTACTTTTATACAAGTATGGTTCGACAAGAATAGCACAAAAAAGAAAATTACATACATGGAGCCATGGAAGCTGATTAAAATAGGAATCTATTCTGTATTCCCAACTGCAATATTTTACTATTACTGGAGTAGAAAATTTTTAAGCTTTTTAAATATGCATTTATATAAAAGGTTACTGCTAACAAAAAGACTTGTTTTGATGTAACTATCATTCATTTCTATGAAGTTAATTATTTAAAATTTAAAAATTTTTATCACATTAAAAGTGAATTTGCATAAATGGAGGGATAACTGTATATGTTATGAATAATAAGTTATAATTTTTCTTTTAAAATTATAGGAGAAAGCAGTGGGAAGCTGCTGTTCATTGCTTGTGTTTGTTAGATGTATTTATAAGTCTTACTCAATATTCCATATCCTCTCAAGTTCCTCTGTGTAGACCAGAATTTGTAATCAATGAAAAAGTAAGTTTTTTTGAAATGTTTCTAAGTATAAAATATATAGATTGGTGATATATTGACTTTACAAAATGAAGTAGTGCATGTTATTCTTCATAACTGGTTACAACTACTGAAATGACCGTTGAGTAGAAGACTTTATTCACAGTTTTGATTATCTGTTATCAAATGTGAATTACAGAAGATTAATTAGTTTTTTATTTAAAGTAGAAATTCTTTTGTCAAGCATGACAGAATATTTTTCATGAGAAAGTAGCGATTGAAGAATTGAGAATAGCTTCAAGTCAAGCTTGATCTTGTGATGCTGTTTCTGCAACCCTCAACAAAGCCATTCTTATTCAATGTTGCTCAAGTTGGACTTCACAACCTTCAGGAGTCTCGGTCGTTCTTATTTTTTTAAATCTAGAATTTACCTGACCAATTTTACTTTTACACTTTCCCCTAGGCACAATAGCTGAAAAATTTTCTCATCTTAGCCTATTGTTGTTTATAAATTTTCAATATTTTCGTGTTTGAGACTTTTTTATACTATTTCTACTCTGTGGGCACTAAGTTGATTTTTTCAGGCACATTCTGCATTCCACCAGGGCCACAATGAGGTAGCTAAGTGCTGAAGGATGGGGCTCACCATATTCTTTGCAGACCATCCCTTGAAAAATTTGCGGGGTTTTGTGACTGCTATATTTGAGGCTAGAATGTACAAATAATGTTATTTATGGTTAGAAATTAAGAATATCTATTAGTTTTTCAAACTGTAGAGTACATATTTTTTTTTCTTTTTATAAACTACCAAGTAATACAATTACTATTTGCACACTGTATCATTCATTAGGTCTATATGTGAAAAGAAATCTCAAACTTTTGAGGCAATCTACAAAGTGTTTGTTTATAGTAGGTGCTTACTTAGAAGCATTGAGCAGATCTATAAATACTTATTGTGTGTGTTCAAAATTTGTCAAAAAAAATTTTTTAATGAAGTAAAGTTATATTTAAAAACTCAAACACAAAAAAATTTTGTGATAAAAAAATATCTATATACAAGAAGCTATAATTGATTAGTATTAAAAATCAAATTAAGGATTACATGCTAAAATTCTTTTTAATAGATATATGAAACGAATGACTAATCAGATATTGAACAAAATTTATTATTCAACACTACATATAAGTAAAAGGAAAATATAAATGGCTGACTAATGTGTTAGCACCTGTTATTTAATCATTACAACGAAACTATCAGTATTATTTAAGAATCCTATGATTTTTCTATATTTAAAACACAGTAAAACTTGTTCAATTTGGAATATGAATAAAACAAAACCTCGTTTATTTCAGAAAAATTATCAGTCCTGGCTAAAGTAAATGTTTTCTTATATATTTTATTTTGTATAAAATTGAAAACAAAATTAATTTAATACCTCAAAATATTAATCTTAATGATGCATTTTTAATTTAGTAATATGCTTTAGAAAATTTTTTATTTCAGTTTGTGCAGGGATGAGACTACTGCGTTTAATTTTTCTGTAGTTTTTGAGTTTTATATTCCATAAAAGTATTTTTCATTTAGTATTGCTAAATGATCCATTCGATTATTTATCATGGCTAATTTAATTAGAAATTTAACACCTATATTAAGGCTAACTTAATAATTAGATATAAATTAATTTGGCTAGACATAGACAATTAGGGTGCGACTATACAGATGCGAGCGAGCGAATTTTCCGAGTGAGCAAGAATATGTGGCGAGAAGAGGCGAGACGCGATAAATATCAAAACCTGTCAGATATGGGCGAGAACCAGAAATTCGCTCTCGCTAGCGTTATTTCTCGCTTTTCGTTTCTGCATGGTTTTCCTTTGTGAAAACTAAATCGCTCGCAACCTCTCGCTCGCTCTAAATTCACATCTGCATAGTCGCACGCTTAGTCTGTCATCTTGTGAAAAATACTGCCTAAGTTACCTCTATCCAAATTGCTTTATATCTAATTAGTAAATTATCCTTAATATAGTCTGATAAATAATCTTGCAGGTTGTTTGGCAATACTAATTGAATCGAACTGTTTAGTTTGTTATTTTCTATTTATTTAACATGATTGGAGTTTAAGTGTTTTTAATACTATTTTTTGTTTATATATTACTTTTGTTAAAGCTCTTTATAAATAAATAAGACTCATATCTTGAAATTTTTCTTTCTCCTTTCTCTTAGGTAATTATAATGCTAAAAATGTGCTCTCAAACATAAAGCATCTATAAAAGATATACTTAATTACAGACAGTAATATAATAGAATGTTAATTTACATAATTATATCATAAACCAAACTTGAATCACATTGCTATCAAAGAATCAAGCCAATTATCAATCTACATTTTGGCTAATTAAATGTACAAATGCTACATTATTTGGACTAAGGATATGTGATTAACTTGCCATCTTATATTAAATTTAATTTATTTAGAATATTTTGGAAGGAAAGATTGATCTGGAGTGGGACTTTAGCCCACAACTTTTACTTACCGTGCAGTTGCATCACCAGTACATTATCCAGTCTTCTGTATGAGCTGTACTTCAAGACCATTTACTTGATTCTGGCTTGATTGTTTGATTAGCTTATTTGCATATTGTAATAAATTATATGCTTACAAATAAATATATGAAGTGTTATGTATCATCCTACAAATTTGGTTTTGTAGCAATTGTTGCTTTGAATAAATTATGCTAAATAACTTATATGAATATTTTATGTCTGTAGTTTGATATATTTGATAATCCATTGTATATTATATAAATAAATTTAATAATAATTAAAATTTCAGCCATTTTTAGAAATTAGAGAAGGTCGTCATCCTGTACTTCTAAAATATTTCACAGGGGATGATTTTATTCCTAATGATGTGTGCATTGGATTATCTGAGGTATTTTTCTCTTCATTTATAAATGTTAATGAAGAATTTTAAGTACATGTAATTTAAATTTGCATAAAAGTCAGTTTACTTAAATTTTTCAGTCAAAAGAAAATGAGAAAAACGACCAAAAGTTGGTATTAGTTACTGGTCCAAATATGGGAGGAAAGTCAACTCTTATGAGACAAGTGGGGCTTATAGTGATTATGGCCCAAATTGTAATAATTACTTTTTACATTTTATTTTGAATTATTATTTACAATATTATTTATGATTGTTATCATTTTTAGGGTTGTTACGTGCCTGCTGAGAAATGCTATTTGACACCCGTCGATCATATTTTCACACGTTTGGGCGCCAGTGACAGAATAACATCAGGTAAATGCATAATTTATACAAAATCATTGATACTTATGCAATTTGTTGCATTTATCTAATTTATAAAATCATTATTTCTTCAATAGGTGAAAGTACATTTTATGTAGAATTAAGTGAAACAGCCAGTATATTACAACATGCCACTAAAAATTCTTTAGTATTGCTTGATGAATTAGGTAAATATATTTTTAAGATATTCCAAATACGTTGTATAACAAAACTGAATTTTATCCATTTGATTTTATTCCAGGAAGAGGAACATCTACTTATGATGGAACAGGAATTGCTTATGCAGTTGTTCACCAATTAGCGTCTTCAGTACAATGTTGTACACTATTTTCAACTCATTATCATTGTCTTGTTGATGAATTTATTGATCATTCAAATGTAAAATTGGGACATATGGTAATAATAAAATGTGTTCGCTTGTTTTTATATTTATATATATATCTTAAATATCAAATGGTCTTTGAATAGGTTTTAATTTAAATTTTTTTCATTATCTATCATGATATATTTGTAATTGTTATGATCTGTAGGACCATCAAGAGTGGAACAGGATTTTTTCCCTGGACCCGGAGAAAACTTAAAGGCCTTTAGTAGTTCCTACTTCTATAAAATTAATGTTATTTTTACTAACAAAAAGAAACATTTAAGATTGTTTTCTATTAATAAAAAACATATTCTACAAATTTCATTTGTTCAAAAGACGATGGAAAAAGCACGCTAACCCTGGGGCCACTTACAAGCTCTCAATAGTCCTGGTAATCTGTAATGACCTATGGTATAATTATCAATCTTTAGTTGTTATGATCTACAGATCCACATGACAACTGTAATTTTATGAAACTAATAATTGATAAATCATATATATTGTAAAAATAGAAAAATATTTTATTCTATAATATTGTAAATNAGAAAACAGTTACAATTAAAAAGTCATTACGGAGTGCCAATGAACAGCTTGATGAGTTTAAACCTTTACTTTTGGTGTAGATTGATACTCGAATTGTTCAGTTTTTTTCATTATTTAAGTAGGATCATTCAATTCACACTATAGGAAAAAAATCATTATCATCAAATCATATGATATAAAGGTTATATGAGAAATAAGTTTGACTTTGTTGTGGGAATATGCAGTTAAATTGGAAATATTGGATAAGTAATTTGATTGAAAATAGAAATTCTTTTAATACTGTAAAATAACTTTTTGATTGTAAATGTGAGAAATAAAAGTGATATATTTATAAATATAAAGTTTAATTTGATTTTTATCATTTATTTTAAATGTTTTTGTATTTTCATTTGTAACATTTTACTGTTTTGTTTTAATAAATCATTAGGTGTGGATAATGAATATGATACAGCAATGGAAGAAATTGAAGAAACTAAAAGTGAATTTGATTCTTATTTAAGAATACAAAAAAATATATTCAATTGCAAAGTACAGTAATACAATTTTCTATACTCTGACTAGATAATTAATTACTACAGAAGTACTATATAATTGATTTTAATAATTTCATATTTTGAATGAGTTAATCTGCTTTTTTTTTATTATATAATTACTGAACAATATAATAAAAAAGTTAGCCATTGTAGTTTATAAATATGTATGATTTGTGTGTTTTATGAAAGTATTTAAGGAAAATTCAACACCTTTACAAGTCTAGAAAAATTTTAATGCATAATGGCATTTTCAGTGGTTTTAAATACCATCTTCAGGCAATAACAACATAAGTTGTAATGAGAAAAATTCAGGGTGCATAGGAAAGTCCCTTTAACTGGAAAATTCTTGAAGAACAAAGAAAACCAGTATTCTATTGAACTAATACTATGTACTTATTTATTTATGCTTTAATGTAATTTTATTAGTTTATGCTATTACAATGCTTGATTATCTTGAATTCTTTATAATTTGGTATTTTCTATATTTTGTAAATGTTAATTTTCTAAAATTTTTATAATGTTCTATTCTTTTTTGCTCATTACTACTAATGTTATTGCCTGAAGATTATTTAAAATAACCAAAAACATTAATGTGTGTTAAAACTTTGCTGGGCTTATTAAGGTATTGAATTTTTCTTCTATACTTATTCAGTTTTATCTACTTGATAGTATTTAATTTAATAATTTTAAATAAAATGATAAACTGTTTCTATAATTATGAATTTTATATTCTTTTATCATTCATATATGCATTTAATTCATTACAGGTTACGTATTTTGGTAGTGGTCGGAATCGTTATCAGTTAGAGGTTCCAGAAAATGCAACCAAGTACGTAACTGATGAATATGACTTACAGACACAGAGGAAAGGATTCAAACGTTATTGGACTCCGACAATAAAAAGTTTATTAGCAAAACTAATATCTGCCGAAGAACACAGAAATGCAGCATTAAAAGATATCATGAGAAGAATATTCTCTGCCTTTGATTCTGGGTAATATATTATTTTCTGTAATTACAGGTTTTCACTATCTGAAAGTAGTGTTACTTTGAAAATTTTTCGTAAGTCAAAATGATATAAAGCAAAGAAGCAATTACCATTAATTTATATGAGAAAAATTTTTGAGTGTTCTCAAAATCAAAATTACATAACTAAATCATACTAAATTTTACTAAGAGATAGTAAAAGCTGGAATAATATGATAAGTGCATAATCTATATAAAGTAGAAATGTAAGTAAAGTGTAGTTACTGAAACTATATCAGAAGTGTACTGTCTCTAGTAAGCAACATTTAAGCTGTGAAATTATTCTCATCTTAAAACAGATTAAAATCATTCATGTCTTCCTTTAAATTCCACTTTTTCAATACTTCCATCACTATTGTCCATTCTTTCTGTTTCAGCTTATCAAAAACTGGCTGATTTCTTCTTTAGAAAAAATTAACTTAATAGAATGCCATGCTTTGTACACCCATCAGTTCATTCAAGCAATAGACTTTCCACTTTATCATTGTATTTTTGCTAACAGATGCACAAAATAAATTGACATAAAGCACAGATACTCATGGACACAATTGAAAGTTATGGTGGCTTGATGTTGAATGGTGGTTTGAATCCCAGGAAAGGAGCTTGGAGATGACTCTGCTGCTCTAAATGTCTCTAAAGCAGTTTGCTGTAAAACAAATGCTAAACACTATTTTTCTTAACTTTTTTCATAAAAGTGAAAATTCTCTTTGATTTCCTTTAGTGAAAACAGGTACTAATATATGCCTCTTGTAAAATCAAACTTTCATGAAGTGAAGGATACCTGTATCAGTTATGTTTATAGTTTAAAATAATGATATTTATAGTGAAGTCCCAAAAACTTCTAACCTGAAGTATATATTTTTATTACTATAGTCTAAATGTAACTTACATAACTGCATATATAAATATATTTTAAAATTAATTAAATGTACATTAATCCCTACTTTTATACAAGTATGGTTCGACAAGAATAGCACAAAAAAGAAAATTACATACATGGAGCCATGGAAGCTGATTAAAATAGGAATCTATTCTGTATTCCCAACTGCAATATTTTACTATTACTGGAGTAGAAAATTTTTAAGCTTTTTAAATATGCATTTATATAAAAGGTTACTGCTAACAAAAAGACTTGTTTTGATGTAACTATCATTCATTTCTATGAAGTTAATTATTTAAAATTTAAAAATTTTTATCACATTAAAAGTGAATTTGCATAAATGGAGGGATAACTGTATATGTTATGAATAATAAGTTATAATTTTTCTTTTAAAATTATAGGAGAAAGCAGTGGGAAGCTGCTGTTCATTGCTTGTGTTTGTTAGATGTATTTATAAGTCTTACTCAATATTCCATATCCTCTCAAGTTCCTCTGTGTAGACCAGAATTTGTAATCAATGAAAAAGTAAGTTTTTTTGAAATGTTTCTAAGTATAAAATATATAGATTGGTGATATATTGACTTTACAAAATGAAGTAGTGCATGTTATTCTTCATAACTGGTTACAACTACTGAAATGACCGTTGAGTAGAAGACTTTATTCACAGTTTTGATTATCTGTTATCAAATGTGAATTACAGAAGATTAATTAGTTTTTTATTTAAAGTAGAAATTCTTTTGTCAAGCATGACAGAATATTTTTCATGAGAAAGTAGCGATTGAAGAATTGAGAATAGCTTCAAGTCAAGCTTGATCTTGTGATGCTGTTTCTGCAACCCTCAACAAAGCCATTCTTATTCAATGTTGCTCAAGTTGGACTTCACAACCTTCAGGAGTCTCGGTCGTTCTTATTTTTTTAAATCTAGAATTTACCTGACCAATTTTACTTTTACACTTTCCCCTAGGCACAATAGCTGAAAAATTTTCTCATCTTAGCCTATTGTTGTTTATAAATTTTCAATATTTTCGTGTTTGAGACTTTTTTATACTATTTCTACTCTGTGGGCACTAAGTTGATTTTTTCAGGCACATTCTGCATTCCACCAGGGCCACAATGAGGTAGCTAAGTGCTGAAGGATGGGGCTCACCATATTCTTTGCAGACCATCCCTTGAAAAATTTGCGGGGTTTTGTGACTGCTATATTTGAGGCTAGAATGTACAAATAATGTTATTTATGGTTAGAAATTAAGAATATCTATTAGTTTTTCAAACTGTAGAGTACATATTTTTTTTTCTTTTTATAAACTACCAAGTAATACAATTACTATTTGCACACTGTATCATTCATTAGGTCTATATGTGAAAAGAAATCTCAAACTTTTGAGGCAATCTACAAAGTGTTTGTTTATAGTAGGTGCTTACTTAGAAGCATTGAGCAGATCTATAAATACTTATTGTGTGTGTTCAAAATTTGTCAAAAAAAATTTTTTAATGAAGTAAAGTTATATTTAAAAACTCAAACACAAAAAAATTTTGTGATAAAAAAATATCTATATACAAGAAGCTATAATTGATTAGTATTAAAAATCAAATTAAGGATTACATGCTAAAATTCTTTTTAATAGATATATGAAACGAATGACTAATCAGATATTGAACAAAATTTATTATTCAACACTACATATAAGTAAAAGGAAAATATAAATGGCTGACTAATGTGTTAGCACCTGTTATTTAATCATTACAACGAAACTATCAGTATTATTTAAGAATCCTATGATTTTTCTATATTTAAAACACAGTAAAACTTGTTCAATTTGGAATATGAATAAAACAAAACCTCGTTTATTTCAGAAAAATTATCAGTCCTGGCTAAAGTAAATGTTTTCTTATATATTTTATTTTGTATAAAATTGAAAACAAAATTAATTTAATACCTCAAAATATTAATCTTAATGATGCATTTTTAATTTAGTAATATGCTTTAGAAAATTTTTTATTTCAGTTTGTGCAGGGATGAGACTACTGCGTTTAATTTTTCTGTAGTTTTTGAGTTTTATATTCTATAAAAGTATTTTTTATTTAGTATTGCTAAATGATCCATTCGATTATGTATCATGGCTAATTTAATTAGAAATTTAACGCATATGTTAAGGCTAACTTAATAATTTCTTAATTTGGCTAGACGTAGACAATTAGTCTGTCATCTTGTGAAAAATACTGCCTAAGTTACCTCTATCCAAATTGCTTTATATCTAATTATTAAATTATCCTTAATATAGACTGATAAATAATCTTGCAAGTTGTTTGGCAATACTAATTTTCTATTTATTTAACATGATTGGAGTTTAAGTGTTTTTAATACTATTTTTTGTTTATATATTACTTTTGTTAAAGCTCTTTATAAATAAATAAGACTCATATCTTGAAATTTTTCTTTCTCCTTTCTCTTAGGTAATTATAATGCTAAAAATGTGCTCTCAAACATAAAGCATCTATAAAAGATATACTTAATTACAGACAGTAATATAATAGAATGTTAATTTACATAATTATATCATAAACCAAACTTGAATCACATTGCTATCAAAGAATCAAGCCAATTATCAATCTACATTTTGGCTAATTAAATGTACAAATGCTACATTATTTGGACTAAGGATATGTGATTAACTTGCCATCTTATATTAAATTTAATTTATTTAGAATATTTTGGAAGGAAAGATTGATCTGGAGTGGGACTTTAGCCCACAACTTTTACTTACCGTGCAGTTGCATCACCAGTACATTATCCAGTCTTCTGTATGAGCTGTACTTCAAGACCATTTACTTGATTCTGGCTTGATTGTTTGATTAGCTCATTTGCATATTGTAATAAATTATATGCTTACAAATAAATATATGAAGTGTTATGTATCTTCCTACAAATTTGGTTTTGTAGCAATTGTTGCTTTGAATAAATTATGCTAAATAACTTATATGAATATTTTATGTCTGTAGTTTGATATATTTGATAATCCATTGTATATTATATAAATAAATTTAATAATAATTAAAATTTCAGCCATTTTTAGAAATTAGAGAAGGTCGTCATCCTGTACTTCTAAAATATTTCACAGGGGATGATTTTATTCCTAATGATGTGTGCATTGGATTATCTGAGGTATTTTTCTCTTCATTTATAAATGTTAATGAAGAATTTTAAGTACATGTAATTTAAATTTGCATAAAAGTCAGTTTACTTAAATTTTTCAGTCAAAAGAAAATGAGAAAAACGACCAAAAGTTGGTATTAGTTACTGGTCCAAATATGGGAGGAAAGTCAACTCTTATGAGACAAGTGGGGCTTATAGTGATTATGGCCCAAATTGTAATAATTACTTTTTACATTTTATTTTGAATTATTATTTACAATATTATTTATGATTGTTATCATTTTTAGGGTTGTTACGTGCCTGCTGAGAAATGCTATTTGACACCCGTCGATCATATTTTCACACGTTTGGGCGCCAGTGACAGAATAACATCAGGTAAATGCATAATTTATACAAAATCATTGATACTTATGCAATTTGTTGCATTTATCTAATTTATAAAATCATTATTTCTTCAATAGGTGAAAGTACATTTTATGTAGAATTAAGTGAAACAGCCAGTATATTACAACATGCCACTAAAAATTCTTTAGTATTGCTTGATGAATTAGGTAAATATATTTTTAAGATATTCCAAATACGTTGTATAACAAAACTGAATTTTATCCATTTGATTTTATTCCAGGAAGAGGAACATCTACTTATGATGGAACAGGAATTGCTTATGCAGTTGTTCACCAATTAGCGTCTTCAGTACAATGTTGTACACTATTTTCAACTCATTATCATTGTCTTGTTGATGAATTTATTGATCATTCAAATGTAAAATTGGGACATATGGTAATAATAAAATGTGTTCGTTTGTTTTTATATTTATATATATATATCTTAAATATCAATTGGTCTTTGAATAGGTTTTAATTTGAATTTTTTTCATTATCTATTATGATATATTTGTAATTGTGATGATCTGGAGGACCATCAAGAGTGGAACAGGATTTTTTCCCTGGACCCGGAGAAAACTTAAAGGCCTTTAGTAGTTCCTACTTCTATAAAATTAATGTTATTTTTACTAACAAAAAGAAACATTTAAGATTGTTTTCTATTAATAAAAAACATATTCTACAAATTTCATTTGTTCAAAAGACGATGGAAAAAGCACGCTAACCCTGGGGCCACTTACAAGCTCTCAATAGTCCTGGTAATCTGTAATGACCTATGGTATAATTATCAATCTTTAGTTGTTACGATCTACAGATCCACATGACAACTGTAATTTTATGAAACTAATAATTGATAAATCATATATATTGTAAAAATAGAAAAATATTTGAGTAATATCATAAATCATAAAAATCATCTTAGTATTTATATTAAAAATTTTGAGTTCTTCTAATTATAAGTTTTTTTCAGACATATACAAAATCTTCAGAATTGAATAGATTTGAACTAACTTTAATTAATATAAGGTGCTTCACAAAATATTAACTCTCGGAGGTATGCAGTCTACAGCAGCAGTAATAGAGCTGTATTATTTTGAGAATTTCACAATTGGGTCATGACTTCTTGCACATGATAGGTTGTCCACTGCATAGTTATCCTTCAGTGCAAATTCAACATTAGTTATTCCCATATTCGTGTTAATGTTTTTTGAAACACCCTATATTTTTAATTTTATCAGTTGGATATTATAAATTATTTTATTACACTAAGTAATATAAATTTAGATCTTTACGATGCATTTTAATAAAACTCCATTCCTCAAAATTAAAGGAATTTATTGAAAAAGGTATAACAAATTTTTTCAAAACAAAAATTTCATCTTCAGATGATTCTCTTCAATAAATAATAGCATACATAAATCAATGTTTTATTATATTTCTGATAATCATTTTTAAAATATGTTTAGTAGACAGAATAAACATTTATTACTAACTGATATCTCAATATTTTACATTACTCTAGTATTGTTTACTATCTAGCAAAGTATGTTAGGAATTGTGGATAGAATTTTTTATAATTGATTTGTTGTTTTATTATATCTGGAATATTAAATTAGTTGTTTTACGTTTTTTTTAGGCTTGTATGGTAGAAAATGAAAATGAAGATCCTACTCAGGAAACAATTACATTTTTATATAAATTTGTGAGTGGTGCATGTCCTAAAAGTTACGGGTTTAATGCTGCTCAGTTAGCAGGAATACCAGATGAGGTAAAAATTATAATTATATAATAAGCATTTTATTATTTTTTGAATAAAAATTATTTAAATATCAAAATAATAGAGAGGCTAATCGTGTGTTATGTTCTGTTTTTTCAAATGTTAAACTAAAAAATAAAATAGTTTGTTCTCCATATTTGACGCTTCCACATTCACAGATTCAACCAATTGCTGATCAAAAATGTTTTTAAAAAATTCAGAAAGTTCCAAAAAGCAAAACATGAATTTGCTTATATTTTAAATATTCATTATTTTATTCTAAGCTTCCTTTGAGGTAATTAAATGAAAACAAGCAATCTATATGTGTTAAAACAAAGTACATATTGGTGACAATGTAACATTTTCTATATAGTTAGGTCAGTACATGTATGTACTTCATCACTCCTTAAGCAATTTAGTATAACAACTATTTATGTAATACTTATATTGTATTAGGAATTATAAGCAATCTAGAAATGATTTAAATTATGTAAGAGGATATGTGTAGATTGTAAGTACAGGGTGACAATAATTAACTCGTACAAAGTTTATAGCAATGCTGCACCTAAACTTTTTTACCATCACCAATTTACATACTGTCATTTAATTCTCTGTGATTTCTTGCCCATGTAGATGTGCTTTCAGTTGTAATAAGGGTTAGTTCTTTATTTTTTTAAGGATGTCAAACAAACATTGTGCAATTTTGGAGCTATTCCAGCAAGGAAAGCATCAATGTGAAATTGTTCATTTGCTCGGTGTTCCCAAAATGACAGGCTTGGATGCAGTTCAGCGATTCAAGAAGCTTGGACATGATGGTGACCATCCCAGACATGAAAGAAAGCACACCATCATGTCTAGGAACCTCAAGTTCATCAAAAAGTGAGTTGACCGACATGCGAATATCTCCTTGAGACAAATTGCTCATGAGTTCGGAATCAATCGTGAATTGATGCAGTTTATGGCGAAAAAGGAACTCGGACTCAAGCCCTACAAGTTCCAAAATTTTCCGCTTCTCATCGATGAAAACAAGTGCGTGCAACTCCAAAGATGCCATTAACTCAAGCGTCGGGCCACAGGTTAACAATGGGAGTGCATTATCTTCACAGACAAGAAGCTTTTCTCCATACAACAGGCGCACAACCATCAAAATGACAGGAACTGGTCTGCAGAGGCTCCCTGATGCTCAGCTGTCATCAAACATCGCAAAAATCCAATGTTTGGGCCAGAATTTGTGCAAGTGGCAAGACACCTCTTGTTTTCGTCGATCAAGGGGTCAAAATCAATCAAAACGTGTACTGCCGTGACATTCTCGAAGCTGTGGTACTTCCGTGTGCTCAGCAGCATTTTGGACGTTTCAGCAGGACTCAGAGCTAGCACACAGGGCGAAGAAAATTTCCTGATTTCATCTTGTCTGCGTAATGGCCACCGTACTCACCGGATCTGAACCCAATGGACTACAGTGTGTGGTCCATTTTGGAGGCTAAGCATCACAAAAGTTTAGAGTCGCTGAAGCAATCCTTGTGCTGGGAGTGGACAAACTGTCTCCAGAAGAGCTGTGGCTCATCGCCGAGAATTTAGAAACATGTTTAGGACTTTGCATCAAAGCAAAAGGAGGCCACTTTGAAACCGACTTAATATCTGATTAATACATAAAGTATTGTCACTGCTATCTGCTGTTGTTTTGCTAATTTTCATTTCTTTAATAAATTTACGATGCAAAAAACTTATACGGGTTAATTATTGTCACTCTGTAAATACTAGGCCATTTTATATATAAGAGACTTAAGCATCTATAGATTTTAATATTTGTGGAGAGTCTTGGAGCCAATCCTCTGCAAATACTGAAGAGTGATTGTATTCTGTTTATTAAAATTTTTGGTATTATTATTATTTAATATACTAGAAAATAAAAATAATTAGTTATAAAGTTCAATTAATTGAAGTTGAATAACTTAATTTTTTGAAGTGTACTGTTGCTTCTCATAAATACTGCATTAATTAGAAATTTAAGACATTCTTAGTGATTTGAACAAACTTAAATTTTACTGTGCATTACAAATGATGTTCATTATGTAAATTTGAGAAAGATGACTTGATCAAATGATCTAATTGATTTTTCTAGCCACACTGTATTATATAGCTTTTCCTTTTTAATGTATAATGAATTTCTCTGGAATGTTGATAACTAATATCCTAGAGCTTTGATATCATTTTACATTATCATTTTGTTTCAATAACTTTGTTAAAGATATTTAAATTTTATAATACTTTNTGAAACAAGCATGCTTTAATTGGAATAAATGTAAAACTGATTGAAAAAAGGATAATAAAAAAATGGGTAATAAACCATATGACACATTATGTGCGTCCCAATGTGTCACTTTGGGCATGCACGCCATAGGTTTGCCACCCTTGACATAGGATTTGGAAAATGTCCATAAATTACATAATGCCATTTTAATACTTTTCAACTACCAGCTCACTTTCTTGTAATGTTGTATAATACCATAAGCACATAGCCCCAAATTACATAACATATATCCTTAATTAATCATCTTAACTGCACTAAGGAATAACACACAGCACAGGGTACCAAGCATTACATTATTTTAATTAATTACTGTTTAAACTTATAATTATTATCCTGGTCTCGTTTCAAACATACCATTTTAATAAAAAAAATAAATATTCTCTCCTCTTAGTGTCATCCCTTACATTAGCAATGTTCTTGGGTTGATATATATAAAAATTCTTCATATTTATAGATCAGATAACTAATTTTATAAAAACAATTTAATATATTCTAGATAATTAGAAAAGCCTACTACAAAGCCAAAGAGTTAGAAAAAAGTGTATTATTAAGAAAATTGTTTAGGTAAGAACTGGTTTAAGAACTTTTATTTATGCATATTTTTATTTCTTTATTTATTTATGTATTTATTTACATTTTAGGTTGTTGTTCTCTTGCAAAGACTTTTCTGATGTTCAAAGATTGAAAAATGAAATAGAAAAATATAATTGCAGCTAGGATTCTTGAGGTTTTAGTGTCCTTTGTTTTGAAAATTGCTCACTTTGTTCAAATTTACGCATGTAGAATCACATCATTTCGGAGCAAGAGAAAAGAAAATAAAGTGGAAAAACATGAATATTGTAAAAATATCTCAGGTAGAAATATTATTATTTTAAATATTCATGTTTGTGAAAATGGAAAGAAATGGACTAGTTGTTCATGTGCTGAACTCTACAATTTTGTATGTATGTTTCAAATAATAAAATATTAAATTTTATTTATTATTATTATATTTTTCTGGAGAGAAATTTAATTTAATGGTTTGAATACATTGCTGTAACTATTATAAAAAGAAACTTAACTTTCAAGCAGATAATATTTGACACATCAAAGGTTTGAACTTTACTTCAGAAAATACAAATATTTTTTAATCCTGCAGTTTGCAATATTAATATTTAAACTATTTCACAATAATTAACTCTCTAAAACCTGTTAGTAGTAGCTTTAAATAATTGTAAATTATCATCATATTATTTTATACCTTACAATTGTAATAAGTTAAATATTTACAGTTTCTTTTCTTTAAATGAAAATGTGATAATTAAAATATTAACATTTCAAGTGGCAATTCTTCTGGAAATTCAAAAATTTCACTAGTCATTTTGCCACTTTTGATTTTTATATCACAACATTGCAATCCTCCATCTACCTGTTATTCTATATAAATGGCAGCATTCGTGAGAACACCTCACACAGATGGATGCCATCACTTTGCCCAATATTTTGACAATTCATTAACAAATTCATTAGTTTTGATGGGATAGAGTTAACTGTATTTTGCAAACTCACAAATCTCAGAAATTTTTTACCTTCATGTTTATCACAAAAATTGTTTTCTATAATAGATATCGTCAAACTTTGTTGCTAGAAAACATTTGCTTTTGTCAATATTAATAGTGCAAATTTCACAATTCTACTGTTCTAACTTTTGTAAGAATATGTGAGATTACTATTATTATTTATTATTTAGCTGCCTGGTATATAAGCCATGCCAGAAGCAGTAGACTTCGTTGCATATTTCAGATATATTCCAAAAAGTACAGTTGCACTTTTATGACTTTTATTTTGTTACAATTACCCTTTAAGGATTATAATGTTTTTTGGTGCTTATCATACATGGAGACTGATTTTTTAGATTTTAGTTTTTATTTAATATTAAAATACAATACTTAACTATTTTTACAATAAAAATCTTAGAATTAGCAACCTAATAATAAATATGCATTTCGGCATCATGCCTTCGTCAGTTTACATTTTTTAAGCTGTTCTGTTATACAGACTAGTATATTTAAGATTTTGAACATACTTAAAATAATCATATTGAACATATGTACATTATTAAAGATTGATTTTAATGATTTATTGTTTTCATTGCTCAAGCATCTTCACTTGATTTTCTTTGTACCATCTTCACATACTCGTATTTAACATAGTCTTTTGCAAGCCAGTTTTTTGTACTGAATTAACATCTGTTGAAATTTCCGTGCTATTAAGTTATACTTTATTCTGTCTTTCAAACTATAACAATTTAATCATTCGTAATTTATATTTATTCATGGCAAGAGTGGATTAATTTATGTTAATTCATATACATTAAGACCCTGCTTAACAATGATTCAATATAATATGGTCTTCTATGCACTTGTAGCTAGAACTATATTTAAGATGATCAACGCAAAACCTTCCTCACTTATTTCTAGCTGTATATACAGGAGTACGAACGTTTTCGGCCTTCTTCAGGTACACTGTAGTCTGTTAGAGCATCGGTTGGTAGAAGTTTAAATGCTGTCAATGGTTACCCCAGTATCGTCTTACCAGTGACGTCATCGTTGATGATAGGTATAGACGACACCGAGGGCGACAAAACTTCTAGAAATAAGTGCGGAAGGTTTTGTGTTGATCATCTATAATACGGTCTGCTCAAAGCCTAAAAAAAGCTCAAAATTTATGCTGATTTAAATTATTGTGGCTTTTTATTGATTCATATATAATACGATTATTTGCAAACACAAACCAATCAGCAAAAGGTGGCAAAAAGGTGTACTTTCTTTAAATTTATGTTTGGTGCAATTTTGGAAAAAAATATAACATCATGGATGTCGTAGGAAAGAAGTATTGACTTTGCTTGGCAAGAATTAACCGATAAATGCACAAACGAAGTGTGAAAGAAGTTATGGCTGAAGGTATCCAAGAATTTTCAACGAGAACAGCCTATTGCTGTATTGTTAGGTGACCAAACTCAATCTAATCGATATAGCAGGACTAGGAGATAGACGAGCAGAATATTAAGGAGTTACAGCAGGTTTCTGGCGAGTCTTACCAACAACGACCTTCAAGAACTGGAAGAACATGGAATTCATATGGAACTGGAAAATAGAGATTCTGAAAATGAAGAACCCAAAAAATTTCTCTACAGATTTCCTTAGTAAAAGTTTGGTAAGATAACCAAAATCATTAATCAAATTGTAGCAAATGATCCAGATTTTGAAAGGAGTGCAAAAGCAAAGCGAGGCATTTTGGATGCGATGTTTTGCTACTGACATTTGCTTAAGGAAAGAAAAAAGCGACAAATTAAACTACACAACTTTATCGCAAAAAAACAAGAATTTCAGAAAAGTCAAGACTTTCATCACAAAAAATGAACTTTACATTTCTGTGTGCATATGTTTGTGTTATTTAACATATATTATTATACAAATTAATATAAAAATAACTTAAAATTAAAGTAAAATTTGTTTATTTTTGGTTGCATGTTTCCCCATCTCTATTTAATCTATGTTAAAATGACCTCGTTTAACAGTTTTGCTTAGCGCTTTGTTGTTTAGGAACATATCCCCCACACTAAACAGGGTCTTACTGTACTTAAACTTTACAACAATAAATTTTGTGGTAATTTTCCAGTGACCATTCCCCTATTTTGACAATTGCTTGATTAGTAGAGACTCCTAGGAGTAAAAAACATCATAGTAACTTGATAACTTTTTAAATTATAGTTTTTTTATTACAAAGGAATAAAAAAATTGTGTATAATTTAATAAAAAAAAAAAACATTCTCAAAAAGTTTTTAAATATACAATTATTAACAGATCACAAGTAGTTCTCAAGCTAACAGATCATGTTAGCTTGAGAATTAAATTATTGTGCTCTTCTGTTGTTGTAACAGGCTACAAATTGTTTTAACATTTCTATAGTCCTTTGATGACTGGATGCGTCTACCACAAATAATCACAGTAATATTTGCCATTTTGAATACCGACACAAGCATTGTTGAACGGCATTACAATCAGTGTGTGTGTTAATTCACAGTGCATATCATTTATTGCCAGAGTGATAAAAATATGTAGAAAAATTAGCACTATGTAGCAGAAACCCTACACTTTCTTACATCTTGTGGAAATATACTATTAAATGACTATAGAAATTGAATTTGTATATTTATTTAGTAGTACAGTTGTCCCTCTATAGTCCGACGTTTTTTAATCCGACATGCTCAGTAGTCCGACGCACCTCCCGTCAAGGTACCCGTCCCCGTTACGTGTCTGCTTGCACAGAAGCATGTCGCGATGTGAATCTCCCCATCCAATTCTTACTCGATGACACACATTTCGTGTGTTTTATGTGAGCAGTTCTGTTCGAACAGTTGGAGTAGAGAATATTGTAAGTTACTGCTAGCAAAACAATGCGAAATATGTAATTATTTTCGGTAATCCGGACACTTTTGGTAATCTGACACACCTTTGGTCCCATACCTGTCGGATTATCAAGGGACAACTGTATATAATCTTGAATTACATTATTGGGTGTTTTTGTAATTGGTTAAACATTTTTAGAAGTAAATAATTCTTCTGAAGTGTGTTTAACACCAAATTAGATTGTTTTTTTCACAGCACATAAGTTAACATATACTTTATTAAATAAATTATTCGGTTACACTATTTTGAATATTGTAATAATGTTTAAAATTTTGTATCTCAGCATAAAAAGCATTCATGAAAGTATCTCAAGAGCTAGGTAATTAATTAATTAAAGTCCCTAAAGTCTGTTTTTTAAAATTGTTGTGTCTGAAAGAAGTGATCTCGGAGTGTAGTTGTTTGGGACAAATATGGGTGACCTTGGCAAAAATGTTGTAGTGGCAATATCACAACTTACTAGTCACATGCACTCAAGTCAATCTACTATGAGTTTTCATGCAAGATTAAGTCTCATTGCTTGAATCATATTTTGAGGGAAAAATCTTATAACTGTTGTATTCAATTGTTTTGGAGAAGTTTCCTGATACTCCTATTCCAGGGAAACAATGGTTTATGACCTTGTGCAATGTTTTCATGAGTAGGGTAATGTTAACAACAGGCCTAGAAGCAACTGACTGTCCAAGGTAATGTCCATGTTTATGAAGCATGTTCAACAGTTTTTGTTGTGCTCTCCCATAAAGTCACTTTGGTTGTTGTCACAGCAGATAGGAACATCTTATTCAGCCTCCCAAAGGGCTACTAAACATGTGAAGCTGTGGCCATACTTAGTTAAAGTTGCTCAAGAGCTACATTCACTAGATTTAGATAAATGTGTCATCTACTGCAAATGGCTTAGGAGATTCGCTCGCAAACTGGCTTAACGCGAGTTTCTTTAGTGATGAGATCCCGTTTTAAGTAGTTATATCAACAACCAGAATGCTTGTATTTTGGCTGTGGCTATTTCACATGTATTATGTGAGGATCCACTTTATCTACAGAAAGCTGAAGTGTGGTGAATTGAGGATTAAGTTTTATGTTGTGTATGCAGACATCATCCATCAATTCAGACCAAGATTGAAGATGATAAGCATCATTTCCAACAAGACAATGCAGTATGCCATATATCAAATGAAACTGTGATAATGCTTTGCAATTTCTTCGGTGGTTTAATTCCAATATTCTTTTGGTTGCATTGCAAACTCATTAAAACACATGCTAGACTAAATAAACCAAGAGTTTTCTGCAAAAGTGTATAATAGCACATTGGACAATAATAATTTCTTTCTTTTAATGTAACTAACCATAATATGGTTTATATCTAGCTATTATAATATTACTTGATTAATATGAAATAGAATTATATATTTACTATAAAGTCAAATCATATTCATTTATAATTAAACCAATTATTAAAGAATCAAATAACATAATATGACCTAAAGATGGGTGATTAGATTGTTATTTTGTGCTTATAATCTTAGAAATAGTTCTAGCTACATATTCATAGTAATAGTTTTTTTTTAAATAAGTTAGGAAATTTCAGGTTCTATACATATTGTCACAACTGGAAAGTTGGATCATTAAGCAATTTAAATTGGAACTTTATTATTATTATTATTTTTTGCCCTAAAGTTTAACAATGAGAGTATGATTGAAACTAACTTTGAGTTTGGCCAGGCCTAGAATAGGTAATGAGGAGCAAGTGCTGAATGTATCCAGGACTTATCATGAAACTTTCTAGTTCCTAATCCAGACTCAAACATGGGTCCTCCAGAGTGACAGATCTTTAAGACCTGTCAACCAGGACAGGAAGATCTAATACTAACCAATCTATGGATTACCGTCTGGAAAACATTAGTCTACCAGGTGTATAAGCTTAAATCCGCTGTTTGCTAATAGATGGCGTATGCGAGCGTATTAAGTTACCATGACGACGCCATATTGTTTTTTTGATGATTTTGACATCTGTCAACATTAATCAGTGCACATCATCAGATATTTCATACAACAACATATATTTTTTTTCTTGTAATCATGTCTACTTTTGTGCCAGAAAAAAAAGCATATGCCGCAAGCTTTGCTTTTCTGCTTTAATTTGAAGAAATCGGCTGCCGAAGAACATCGAATGCTTGTGGAGGCTTATGGAGACAGAGCTTTATCGGAAACCACGTGCAGAGATTGGTTTCATCAGTTCAAAGATGGAAATTTTTACCTGAGCGACAAGAAGCGTGAAAATCGGCCCAGGAAAGTTGAGGACCATCAACTGCAGGCTCTTTTGGATGAGGACGATACCCAATCGCAAAAAATGCTTTCCGAGCAATTGGGTGTTACTCAACCAGCCATTTCCATGCGTCTACGTGTCATGGGAAAGATTCAGAAGATCGGAAAATGGGTGCCGCATGAATTGAACGATAGGCAGATGGAGCGATGCCAAAACACATGCGAAATCTTGCTCGCCAGACAAAAAAGAAAGTCGTTTCTGCATCGGATTGTAACTGGCGATGAGAAATGGATATATTTTGAGAATCCTAAACACAAGAAATCGTGGGTTGATCCAGGCAAACCATCAACATCTTTCCCAAGACTAAATCGCTTTGGAGGAAGACAATGCTGTGCGTTTGGTGGGATCAGCAGGGTATTGTCTACTATGAGCTGTTGAAACCTGGTGAAACTGTCAATGCTCACCGTTACCACCAACAACTGATCAAATTGCANTGTAAACCAGAATAACACTGTACCAAATATTCTTTCCAGCTTGGCAGGTTTCATTTTAAGCAGGTTCTTTTTTAACATAGAAAATTTCTGTTTTAAGGAGTTTTTTTTTTACATTTAGGTTGGTTTTCTTTTTATTTGGGTTCCATTTACTGTATACTGTAATTTAGGTAAGCATTTTAACTTTAACATAACCAAAAGAAATACTTCAAGCGTGCAATGCCTTACAGCTTACGTTTACATCATTTTGTTATTCCACAGAATTTGTAACGTACTGAGTTTTATTTCTACCGTTTTATTATAAAATTGAAATTAATTCCTTCAAGACTTGAAGGAATGCATTCACTAGAAAAAGTGTTTTTTATCTCTATTGAAAAGTTTGTTTTTTTTGCCATTTACAACATTATGGCATTGCACACTTATACAGTCGACCCCCTATAACACTGTTGATTTTCCCGTTTTATATGAATTCCATGTTGTACGAGTCACTTAGATTTTACAAATATGTGTGCCGGGCTGTGAACGGCTCATGTATTTGTAAAACCTGGAATCAGACAATTAATTACTGCAGAAATATGGGAGTTTCACTACACAATTTCAAAATTCCCATTACATTCAAAGTTTTAACTAATTGAAAAATTAATAATAATTGTTTTTTTTTTACTTCTGGACAGTCTGAGCCCCGCCGAACTAAACAGACGACGATAAATTTGTAGGACGACTTGAAATAATATCCAATGTATTTTGTGATGAAGCTTTGTGAGTATTTATCAAGTTTTATTTAAACTGTTTCTGAAGATGGAGACAAAATACATCTTCAGAAGCATTAAAAATATTAATTACCATTAACATATTTAATTAATTTATGAATATAGCATAATTATAGAAGCTAAAATAAGTTAAAAATGTAAGTAAAAAAAATTCAAAATATTAAATTTATTCTTCAATTCTTAATTCTAAAAATTAATAAAGATTTTACTTACTGTAAAGTGATAGAGTATTTAATTGATTCCATATGTTAGAAAAGACATTTTGTTCTATAAATTTGATGCGATTTCCTTCCAAATATAAAGTTTTCAAAGCCGGCATATTAGAGAATGTATTACCGTCGAGCACCGATAAGAAATTATTTCTGAAACAAACGTTTTGAATTATAAATAATTTTTATTAGTAACTTTTTTGCATAATTAGATTAAATTAAAACACCTTGAAAGGTAGTGAAGTATTTGAATTCTAAGTTTATCTAGTTGCATGGGGTTGGATTGTGATTTTGAAGGACTTTTTATTAGAAGACTTCAAATTTTTATTTAGTCTTCAATTTGTAACATTTTTTACTTAAATGTTATCCTGGATTTTTAAATTTTATTGGATGTTTTTGTAAGAAAATTATATTAATATTTAAGACAAAAAAGAAGTTATCTTTTAGGACACTTCATTAATTAAATGCTGTGTTTTGGCTTTTAATTAACCAGTTACCATCTGTAAAAACATAAATCCACATGTATGACAACTCTACTGTACATAATTTAATAGCTATCAATTGTAAGTTAATAGTTTTTTTAAGATTATCGGCACAAAACCTTTCTCACTAATTTCTAGCCGTATTAACAGGAGTACTAGAGTACAGGAGTACCCGAGGAAGGCCTATTAAGAAGGCTGAAAACGTTTGTACTCCTGTTAATATGGCTAGAAATTAGTGAGAAAGATTTTGTGCTNTACTTGATTAATATGAAATAGAATTATATATTTACTATAAAGTCAAATCATATTCATTTATAATTAAACCAATTATTAAAGAATCAAATAACATAATATGACCTAAAGATGGGTGATTAGATTGTTATTTTGTGCTTATAATAATAATAATAATAATTAGAAATTAATTTTGAATTAATTTAGACTGAAATAAAATATTTAGGCCAAATTATATATTTAATTCGTTTATTTATAGTCTGGATATACAGGTATGTGCACTTAACAATGGACTACATATGCAGGGTGTCTTAAAAGTTATTGTGTAATTGAAAAGATTTCTGTGACATTTTACATATAATATTGCAGTTTCTCTTACAACAAAGCTGAAATGTCCCACAGAGGTTCCAAAATTGGGCAGTTAGGTCTGAAGACCTAACAGCAAATTCCACATAATCGGCAGTCTTCCAAAAGCTAGAAGATCTGTGAGTAAACGTGGAAATGCAGGACGTACCACTTACAAGTCTCATATGCTATGCCAAGTGTACAACCTTAATGTCATTTATATAAGTTCTTATCAGTATTACATACGAGTATCACACTATAGATTTGTCCAAGTACAATCTATGTTCCCTTAATATATTTCTTGGAATGTATTCGTGACATTAAGCAGCACACACCAATAATCCAATTTAGAAATGTTTAATAGGAAATTCAGTTTGATTATTTATCATATTTCTGACGAAATAAAATAGATTCTATTGATAAATATTACTAATAAACTGCGCAAGTTTCTAGTATCACATATGACATATAAACTAATAAGGATAAAACTAATAAAAAAAGGCAGGATAAAAACCATACATTATTAATAATATTAACAACATCTGTCATTTATGTTGCTACAAAGGTCATTTCGCTCTAAGTATTTGATGGGCATTCCATTCAAATGAGCTGGATTGCTGCAGACGAGCGATTCCTCACTCACTTCGTATATACGTTTTTTACCGATTAGCCAAGCAATTTTACAATTGCACACAATAGAATTTCCTGAAATTGACAATAAGTAATTTTAAAAACAAATTTTTGTATAATTTCTGCCAAATGATCTGACGGATTATATCGGCCTATAATATGGCTACTATTTAATAATTATCAAGAGATGATGCCAATACCTACCTCTAAGCAAAATTGCTGAATATTTAATTATTAAATAGATGCCACATAAAAGCCCAATTTACAGTAATCTTGTAGATCATTTGGCTTTAATCAAACTTCAGATTAATAGATGTGTATTATTTAACAAATTACTAATCACATAAGCCTATTTTCATACATGTGTAGTGAATTATAGTTTATGATATGGTTGCATAAATAAACATCAATTGCATATATTCAATACAAATGGTAAATCCTACCAACATTCCTTTCGTAGCTCTTTTTTCATGGGCCGAATAAAATATGCAGTAAAACCTGTGTAAACCAGAATAACACTGTACCAAATATTCTTTCCAGCTTGGCAGGTTTCATTTTAAGCAGGTTCTTTTTTAACATAGAAAATTTCTGTTTTAAGGAGTTTTTTTTTTACATTTAGGTTGGTTTTCTTTTTATTTGGGTTCCATTTACTGTATACTGTAATTTAGGTAAGCATTTTAACTTTAACATAACCAAAAGAAATACTTCAAGCGTGCAATGTACAGCTTACGTTTACATCATTTTGTTATTCCACAGAATTTGTAACGTACTGAGTTTTATTTCTACCGTTTTATTATAAAATTGAAATTAATTCCTTCAAGACTTGAAGGAATGCATTCACTAGAAAAAGTGTTTTTTATCTCTATTGAAAAGTTTGTTTTTTTTGCCATTTACAACATTATGGCATTGCACACTTATACAGTCGACCCCCTATAACACTGTTGATTTTCCCGTTTTATATGAATTCCATGTTGTACGAGTCACTTAGATTTTACAAATATGTGTGCCGGGCTGTGAACGGCTCATGTATTTGTAAAACCTGGAATCAGACAATTAATTACTGCAGAAATATGGGAGTTTCACTACACAATTTCAAAATTCCCATTACATTCAAAGTTTTAACTAATTGAAAAATTAATAATAATTGTTTTTTTTTTACTTCTGGACAGTCTGAGCCCCGCCGAACTAAACAGACGACGATAAATTTGTAGGACGACTTGAAATAATATCCAATGTATTTTGTGATGAAGCTTTGTGAGTATTTATCAAGTTTTATTTAAACTGTTTCTGAAGATGGAGACAAAATACATCTTCAGAAGCATTAAAAATATTAATTACCATTAACATATTTAATTAATTTATGAATATAGCATAATTATAGAAGCTAAAATAAGTTAAAAATGTAAGTAAAAAAAATTCAAAATATTAAATTTATTCTTCAATTCTTAATTCTAAAAATTAATAAAGATTTTACTTACTGTAAAGTGATAGAGTATTTAATTGATTCCATATGTTAGAAAAGACATTTTGTTCTATAAATTTGATGCGATTTCCTTCCAAATATAAAGTTTTCAAAGCCGGCATATTAGAGAATGTATTACCGTCGAGCACCGATAAGAAATTATTTCTGAAACAAACGTTTTGAATTATAAATAATTTTTATTAGTAACTTTTTTGCATAATTAGATTAAATTAAAACACCTTGAAAGGTAGTGAAGTATTTGAATTCTAAGTTTATCTAGTTGCATGGGGTTGGATTGTGATTTTGAAGGACTTTTTATTAGAAGACTTCAAATTTTTATTTAGTCTTCAATTTGTAACATTTTTTACTTAAATGTTATCCTGGATTTTTAAATTTTATTGGATGTTTTTGTAAGAAAATTATATTAATATTTAAGACAAAAAAGAAGTTATCTTTTAGGACACTTCATTAATTAAATGCTGTGTTTTGGCTTTTAATTAACCAGTTACCATCTGTAAAAACATAAATCCACATGTATGACAACTCTACTGTACATAATTTAATAGCTATCAATTGTAAGTTAATAGTTTTTTTAAGATTATCGGCACAAAACCTTTCTCACTAATTTCTAGCCGTATTAACAGGAGTACTAGAGTACAGGAGTACCCGAGGAAGGCCTATTAAGAAGGCTGAAAACGTTTGTACTCCTGTTAATATGGCTAGAAATTAGTGAGAAAGATTTTGTGCTGATAATCTTAGAAATAGTTCTAGCTACATATTCATAGTAATAGTTTTTTTTTAAATAAGTTAGGAAATTTCAGGTTCTATACATATTGTCACAACTGGAAAGTTGGATCATTAAGCAATTTAAATTGGAACTTTATTATTATTATTATTTTTTGCCCTAAAGTTTAACAATGAGAGTATGATTGAAACTAACTTTGAGTTTGGCCAGGCCTAGAATAGGTAATGAGGAGCAAGTGCTGAATGTATCCAGGACTTATCATGAAACTTTCTAGTTCCTAATCCAGACTCAAACATGGGTCCTCCAGAGTGACAGATCTTTAAGACCTGTCAACCAGGACAGGAAGATCTAATACTAACCAATCTATGGATTACCGTCTGGAAAACATTAGTCTACCAGGTGTATAAGCTTAAATCCGCTGTTTGCTAATAGATGGCGTATGCGAGCGTATTAAGTTACCATGACGACGCCATATTGTTTTTTTGATGATTTTGACATCTGTCAACATTAATCAGTGCACATCATCAGATATTTCATACAACAACATATATTTTTTTTCTTGTAATCATGTCTACTTTTGTGCCAGAAAAAAAAGCATATGCCGCAAGCTTTGCTTTTCTGCTTTAATTTGAAGAAATCGGCTGCCGAAGAACATCGAATGCTTGTGGAGGCTTATGGAGACAGAGCTTTATCGGAAACCACGTGCAGAGATTGGTTTCATCAGTTCAAAGATGGAAATTTTTACCTGAGCGACAAGAAGCGTGAAAATCGGCCCAGGAAAGTTGAGGACCATCAACTGCAGGCTCTTTTGGATGAGGACGATACCCAATCGCAAAAAATGCTTTCCGAGCAATTGGGTGTTACTCAACCAGCCATTTCCATGCGTCTACGTGTCATGGGAAAGATTCAGAAGATCGGAAAATGGGTGCCGCATGAATTGAACGATAGGCAGATGGAGCGATGCCAAAACACATGCGAAATCTTGCTCGCCAGACAAAAAAGAAAGTCGTTTCTGCATCGGATTGTAACTGGCGATGAGAAATGGATATATTTTGAGAATCCTAAACACAAGAAATCGTGGGTTGATCCAGGCAAACCATCAACATCTTTCCCAAGACTAAATCGCTTTGGAGGAAGACAATGCTGTGCGTTTGGTGGGATCAGCAGGGTATTGTCTACTATGAGCTGTTGAAACCTGGTGAAACTGTCAATGCTCACCGTTACCACCAACAACTGATCAAATTGCACTGTGCTCTGCATGAAAAAAGGCCGGATTATCAGCAAAGACACGACAAGCTGATTTTCCTCCACGACAATGCACCATCGCATGTGTCAACATTGGTCCGAAACTACTTGGAGACACTCAACTGGGAGGTGCTACCCCATCCCGCTTATTCACCAGACTTGGCCCCTTTCGACTATCACCTCTTTTCATCGATGGGCCACGCGCTTGCTGAGCGGCACTTCGATTCTTACGAAGACGTCCGAAAATGGCTTGATGAGTAGTTTGCCTCGAAAGAGAAAAACTTTTTTTGGCATGGTAGCCACACATATTCCGAGAGATGGAACAAATGTGCCACTAGTGAGGGAAAGTACTTTGAATAAATTTGTTTTTGCTTTCTAAGAAAAAAACGTGTGTTTTTCTGACTAAAAAACAGCGGATTTAAGCTTATACACCTATGTAGATACAGTATAAAAAGGCATTGCTGATTATATACAGTATTTGAATCCTGCATCAAGCATATTCTCAGATTTTAATTGGAGTGTTGTCTGGGAACACTCCAAAGTCACTTGTATGGCATTGCACATTAATTTAAATATAATTTTTTGAAATATCCATGATTTTAAAATTCTTTGAAATTTTTATAAAGTAAACAAAAAGAGAGAATATATTTTTTAACATTTATATAAAAATAAAGTAACATTCAAGTGTATTAGAAGTATAATTTTATATGAATGAATCAATATTAATATTCATCAATCACAAATCATTTGTTGGAATTATTAATTCAAATACATATTAATGCACAATTTAATCAAATAAGTCAAGTCTTCTGTAACTAAGCTAGATGTTATCTATAAGAAGCACTTGTAAACAGATATGAAATATAATATGCTACCTGATAAAATAAAAAGATAGTGTTAAAGGTCTCCCTCATATACGCACGCAACAAATAAAAACGTCAGATATACAATACTACTGATGAATCATTGACACCGGGAGGAGGTGGCTAGCATTGTGTTTTGATGTCTTTAACCCCACTCCATACTTTCCAATTAACTTTCTGGTTCTTAGACAAGTCAGTTTTTTGATTAGCATAGGTTTGTTTTTGGTAAAAATTAAATTTCTATTGGTGCTATGTCATTTGAACTTGATATTGATAAATTTATAACTGATTAAGCAATATTTTGGTTTGCTACCTACAGGTAAATTTATAACCGACAAATATAATGATTAACATTAAAATAACTTACCGTAAAGAGAGCAATCTTAATCGTTCGCATCTTGCGGGAAAAACTTCACGCCTTATTCGATAAAGATTATTTCCTTCTAAATTAATTGACTCTACCTTGTGAAAATTTGCAAATGCGGAATCTTGTATTTCTGTCAAGCACGAACCTGTAATGGCTAATTTCTTCAGTGACGATCCATTAATTTTGAAAAATGTGTCGGGTACTGTACTTAAGTTGTTACTCCTGGCAAAAGATAAAGTCTCGAGTGAGTATAAGTTGGCCAATTCCTTCCAGTTCCATTTAAGAGGAGTTTTGGCACCACTGACACCAAACGTATGCAACTGTTTCTCGAGTCCCAGAAAAGGAGAGGGTCCGGGCCCATCGTCGGCTAAATTCATCAAAGAGCAGTTCGTAAAAATCAAGCTGTTAATCAAAGTCCCATCAAATGCTCCTCTGGGTAGTGAATCGAGTTTTAGTCGAAGGAATTGAAGAGCAAAGATAGGACATCCTTTAATTTCATTCAATATCCTCAACAATGTGGGAACATCTTTGATATTAGGACAAATCATATGAATTCTGGAATCATGTTTGTGAATTGTACATGGTTGAATATGCGAAGAAATTAAGCATTCATTGCCGACAACCATTCCAAATAATGTACCGAAAGTAATAAAAGCCAACAACTTTTTATTCTCCATTGTCCTAAAAATTAAAATGTTTTTAGATTATATTTTAATATATATTACATATAACTCATAAAATAATAATCAAATTAGTACTTACCTGAGAATATGTATTAACGTCTAAATGCTTGTATATACTGTTGATACAATATGATAAAAACTGATAAAATTTTTATTTGATCTTCATACTTTGCATATCTTTGCTGACCTTTCTGATTACTGCTGATGCATGTGATTTGTTGCAGGAAAGATAAACATAAAATATACAGTAGCTAATTAGATAAGATACAGGATAATAACTCTTTGCCTTTTTAAATTCTGAATCAATAGAATTATTAAAGAATGCAAATTACAGTAATCGTTAACAAATTTTTTTAATGAAAATTTTGGAGATTGAATACTTAAAAATGAGCAAATAGCCCATAAAACTTTAGGCACTAAGATGTTTTTCCCATACTGTGGGTTCAGCCAGGCCCACAATGAGACAGCTGGATGGTGAGGGACAGTATCCTGGACAAGAACTCTCATAAAAAATCCTGTGCAGTCACTCATTCAAATTCAATCCTTGATACCCAGCATGGTAGGCTGATACCTTAACCATCTCGGCTATAGGACCATGTCTGACTTGATGATAATTTATCTCAATTTATAAACATTAATGTAGAGACAGATTGTTTTAATTGCCTTTTACAGTGTCATTTATTTTATATAGATTAAGTCTGGAGTCCCGCAAGTTGTTGTATGATATCTATTTCGACTATAAAAAATGCATTTTCTCTATTAATTAAAATACTGTTGTGTTTTCCATTTCAGAATAATTTGTTCTCCATCCATAATTTATTATTGGGTAAATGTATCCGTGATAATTGATAGTTGATGATTATTGTCATCAGAAGCATCTCGATTCTGTTTGGTGCTTTTTAATTGTTTTACATTTAAAATATTGTCATGAATAATTGAATATTATTATTTACATTAAAATGGTTCAAATTTTATTTGCTTTAATATTGACTTATAAGTTTTCAAGCTGAGATTGCAACCAGATGAACTGCACAGTAGACCATGGATTAGGATTTGATTAAATTTTGGGTTACAGAAAATCAAATTTTATATAAGAATACAGGCCCTGTTATGACCCACCAAGTTTGGATTGTTTTTACGACCAATTCTAATTTTTTTTTTCCAAGAAATGACTAAGTTCTATCACCTAGAATCTTAGTTTAGTTATTTCGTTAAGCAGTCAGCTTACCACTCTGGAGGGTCCAGGATCAAATCTGTTTGTTTGTTCATTTATGGCAATGCAACACTTGGGCGATCTGCCTAGGGAGGTGCCTTCCGAGAGGTCTTTTAAGGGAAACTGGCCCCTATTTAGGCATTACAGACGTGGAGAAAACTCGGTAAACTCCACGTGGCTAGCCCGTCCGAGCAAGGTGCGAACCTACAACCGAACTCCCAGTGTTCAGGGGTACGAAGACCGCTCGGCCACTGGTGGGCCGATCAAATCTGGGTGGATGAAAATTTACAGGAATTTTTCAACGTTAGTCTGTTCCAGATATGTCGACCCTGTCCCTCATCACCAAGCTGCCTCATTTTTGCCTGGCCAAACCTGTAATGAGCTTGCTAAAAAGAGGCCCTCTCAGTGTCCACAAGGCAGAAAGAGTTTTTAAAAACAAGAATCAGAAAAGTCATTATAATGAAGATCATGTAGGAGCTATTTACTTGTCCTTGTTCCTGGAAATTTCCTGAAACCCAGGAAAAACGAAAACAATAATAGGTTTTAAAACACCTCAATCGGAGTTGCTTTTGCCTTCCGATGACTGTTTGTCAATGTGGGAAAATATTGCTTTTATGTAAACACTTTGAACACTTTATGTAAAGATGAGATATTAAAGACTTTTTGGATTGGAAGAAGACATTGAACAAAGGTATTATATATTTAAAAAATAATAAATAAGCTTTAACATATGGATTCTGCATTTGATTAAAAATAAACTGACATTGTTGATTTTTTTTTCTTCAAATTCTGCGACTCGTAAAACTTCAAACAACACATCCCATTGATCTATTATACAATCTACGTTAATGCTAGCCATTGTGTTTTGCTGGGACGTATTATTTTAAGCTGTGACTTTTTCATATAATCTTGGAATTCAGACAGTATTGATTGTCGCTTCGGACTTGGAGAAAAATAGGTATATAAACTTTGCAGTAAATCTTCAATATTAGACTGTATCTCATCAGCAACACTGATAGCTACTAGTGTGCACACTGTGACAATTGCAGTAATTTATTATTAGCTAACAAGTGGGTTTTAAAACATTCTGTTGTCTCCCATCATTACATTTGCATTGTCTGAACAATATCCTACTATTTGACTTTCGTTTATCTGATATGCTTGCAAAACTTTTAATTTCTATTATTCTAATTTAAACCTTTTGCTGTACCACTATCAGAATCAACACTGATTATCTAAATATATAAAATTGCTTGTCTTGACTGACTGACTCACTGATTTATCATCGCCCAGAGCAAATCCCTGAACCTAAAGAGGTGAAATTTGGTACACAGTTAGGGTACGTCATGTAAACGCACACTAAGAAGGGATTTTTCGAAATTCCCCAGCGGGAGGGAGAGGGAGAGGATTAAGGCTTAACCGGAAGAACGGCTTCTACTGTACTATTTTAGATGCGATTTTTTGTTTTCAACTATGTTTAGTCTTCATTAAATGTATTAAATTAGTGGCGTGCCGTCATTAGAAGCGTGGAAGCGCCGCTTCCCTTGTATTTTATAAAAAATAAATACATATTAATTTTAATTATATGAAAATAATCGCACAATATTTTATTATAACCGCATTATGTATCTTATTACAAATTTCTATACTAAACGTGAAAAAAAAAAAAGATAAGATCGCTATTGTATATTCGAATATTAGTGGCGGAGTGGAATCTCTGTAAGGTCAGATTCCAAAAAGCCAGATTTGCGCATGCGCTTTACAGAGCACCAACCTCACCCGGTTTAGCCGGTGGAAGCCTACGACCTTGGACAGAAGCTGCACACATATAAAGATTCTAATTCTATCAAGGACCAGTTCTGGGCTGTTAGCCGCCTGCCCACTAGATATTTCGATTACGTGAATAACGAGTAGATTTATAACTTAACCCAACCGATAAGAATTTACTGGTATGTTTTTACGATAGTTCTGTATAGTTGACAGGAGTTTAAAAAATCCATTAAAATATTTGATATATTTATTCCGCTCTCCGATTTTATATTACTCACGGATTTCGATGTTAAACCAGTGATATTACGATTTCGTACATCCCATCTTTAAGGGGATGTAGAAAAAAACGTGTACAATTCTTGTATAATGTTAAAAAATTAACTGTTACTTTGACAGCATCATTTACAACTAAATTTAATGAATGAGAGAGATGCACGAGGTACAGAAAAAGCTCTAGAATTTATTTTCCTTAAATTTACGATTTATGTATCCGTTTGTCATAAAAATTTGTCTTTCCACTTTTTTCCCGAGACTACAAATATTCGAGTACAAAGTAACTGGTTTCGACTTATTTCTACTTAAGAAGTAGTTAAATAATTAAGCGATTAGGGAATTGGGGACATAAACAAAACCCTGATGAAAGAGCCGGAATATTACTTAAACAAAAGCTTAACCGAACCAATCTATAGCCGAGTACAGTGGGGATTGATTTCTTCGAAATACTGTATTAAATGTAATAAAGACAGAAATTTTTCCAGTTCAACGAGAGTGACCGAAAAGTTGTAAATTTTGGAAATTTCCGTGGAGGACACCTGGTCCTAAAACGAATTAGTTAGAAAACAAATGACTATTAAGTTTAACATATTTAGATTTTTACAGCTATGGTGAGAAACGTTTAAAATCTACAACAGCCCTGTCGCGTCCTTTGAGATATACTAGTGATGCGACAAAAGAGGTATTTGACATTGACCGGTATCGGCACCCTGGGGATTTGGCAGTCCGCGTGTATGCACGCTCTGCAACCGTCTTCGATTCCATCCATTAGCCACTCGTAGGGAGCTATTTGACTAAGTGCATTGTTTTAAGATTTAAAAAGTAAAGAATATTTTATATTTTTATGTACGTTTCTTTACAAAGCTATATTTAATTATAATTTTCTTTAAAAGTATATTCATATAATTGAAGAATATTTTGTATGTACCGGTACATCCACCACATATTTTATTTCACCGAGTAAGTTTTTATTATTTTATTTTTAATTGTAGCCCTTATATTGTGGCTAGCAATTCGGAATGTAATTGTGATATTAAAAATGCATTTAGAGAAGTCTACGATTTTTACTGGCTTATCGAATAAACGATACGAATGGATCCTAGACCATCACTGACGCGCAATTGACTGATTGCCCCTGGATGTCGGCTTCTTACAGAAACAGCTTCCCTATCATCAATTGTCACGGCACGCCCCTGTATTAATTAAATAGATAACATTTCAGACATTGTTATAAATATTTTTATATACAGTATTTCGATTTTTTACCAAATGTTCGAACAGTTTTAAATTCGAATCTGTTATTGCGTATTATTTCGATTATAGAACGATTGTAAACGTTCCAGAATATTGATCAAATTGAAAATAGTTCGTTTGATTCTCGGCAATTCTCATTATTCTCAGCGGTAGGTGTTATATAACAATTACTATGATTGTTGAAATACTGAATATGAATGGGGTTTGCTTGCAAAACCTCCGCGAGCGAAGTCGCGGGTAACAGCTAGTTAAAAATATACAGTAATACCCCGACTTACGCTACCCCGACTTACGCGAATCGGAGTTACGCGATTTTCAAATCTCATCGATTCGTCTTTTGTTTGAACGCCACGCAACTCTTAATTACTCATTTCCCCCCCACACTATTGTTCGGCTTACATATTCGGACGTGTTCGACATGTAAGCTATATAAGACATATAGCTACAATTTATTTTGTGTTATTTGTATGTATTTATATGCAAAATTATACCCCGACTTACGCGAATTCGACTTACGCGGTTATCGCTCGGTCCCACCTATCGCGTAAGTCCGGGGTATAACTGTATTTGATAAGAATACATAGTAAACGTTGATTGCAAATATCTGTGCTTTCGTCTAACAGAACGGAAACGCTTGCCCACCAGTGGCCAAGCGTTTCCGTTCCTTGAACACTGGAAGTTCGGTCGTGGGTTCGCGCTTGGCCTAGGACGGGCGCACAGTGGGACCAAATCCTAAAAAGCTGGCCAAAAGTCGAAAAATAGAGTTTAAGTTCTGGTAATTTCTAGTCGTGGGTTAGGTTGGATAAGAGTCCGAATGTCGAATTTTATACTTTAGCGCCCCCCTATCCCTTATACCTGCTATTGTAGTTCAGTCGAAAAGAGACCCTCAATCGAGCTAGACGCGTCATGCAGTAAGCAACGATTTCTACGCTATATTCAAGAGGGTGCCAAATCTCTAAAAATCAATCTAATTTAAATTTAAAACATGGAATCTGCAGCTGCAAGTAAGTAGAATATCATTATGTAACACAAAATTGATAATAATACTTTATGTGATTACAGTAAACGAATGATTTGTACGAAAATAAACGGAAGATTACAACAGAAAATTTTAAACATGTAGAGAGAAGTTCATAAATTCTGTAGAGTTCTGCGACTGGGCCGATTGCATGTTGTAGATGGAACTATTATTGAATGAAAAAAAATTAAAACTAGCTGCAACTAGCTGCAACTGTGTCATTGGTGCGAGTTCTTGCAACGCAAAACAGTTTTCTGAATTTTGTACATTAAC